GGGTCAGTTTGTGTTGCTCAGTCTTAAGTCTTCTGTATTTGGTTCCGTGTATTATTTATTGTCTGTTTTATATTTTTCATTAGACAATGGCGTTGTATCCTTATTATTATTGACCCTTCCATTATGTTTATTATCCCCTCCTTGATTTCTAGGCATATTCAAATAATCAATTCTAAAAGTAAACCACGTGTAAAAAAACAGTGAAGGTTTACATATTTTTTGATTATTGCGCATCAGTTACATCTCCTTATTATACATATATACCTTATTTCAGCTGAACTAAAAGTGAAAATGGAAAAAAATTATGCCTGTCTTATGACAAATCAAAACATTTCCGCGGCAGAGACTCATTCTTTGGTCAATGAAGTAAAAAGTAAGTATTTTTAAAATTAATTGATGCATAATGCAATATTACTGACTTTTGCGACTCAGTGGGAGTCAAAAAAAAAGAAGAGAGAAAAGATACCGACGGGAAATTCAAACTCATAAGTCGAAAGTCAAAACACAACATAGAAAACTAAAGACTGAGCAACACGAACCCCACAAAACATTGGGGGTGATCTCAGGTGCTCTAGAAGGGTAAGCAGATCCTGTTCCGCATGTTGCACCCGTCTTGTTGCTCATTTAAGTATAAACCCGGAGATAAGTGTAATTCAGTCGGTCAAACTCGGGGAAAAGGCACAAGATTGTAGTTACGATAACTGGAACATATTCGTCATCTGTGAAACAGAAATTCCATAACGGTCCACCAACTCGTGATGGCGTTTGTAAAGTTTACAAAGGGATGATTTCGAATTCTCAACTTGGAACTCTTGGCTTAATAGCTTTCTGGTGAGCAATACAATCCCTGTTCAGAAAAGCTTCTACTATGACTAGTATTATTTTTTCATAACAAGATTTTTAGAAAAGCTACTAAAAAAATGGAGAGTGATGTCCCTTTATTGCTAAGGCTCAGCGAGATACCACTCTAGAAAAAAAAAATTTCATTAGGTTAAACTTCATAATGGAACCTGAGATTGAAGCATTGTGTAAACAAATGTCAAAAGATCGTTTTAAACGTCTTCTAGAAGGATTGCAAGGTATGCAAGAAGAGTGGTTAGACCCCGAAGTGGACATTTCAAATCAAAACAAAACAAATATGGCGTCATATTCCGAGGCAGTGTAAAATACAAACACCAACACAAACCAAAACAAAACAGTTGGGGCTGATGATGTTACAGGTGAATCAAGTGATCCCAGTGACAATATAAAACTTATATTTCTGACAGATACCGATGTACATGGTTCTGTTAAACCATCGGGATCCCTATGGCTTACGAACGTATAGATATACAAATCCATTGATACAAAAATTCCAGCTGAACGGATTAAAGGTATTCAGAGAATCCGTGATATGTGGCGCATTAACATGGATAACGAGGAAGACAAACTGTCTCCGTTAGTGACAGGAATGAACTTGCGTGGCAGGCAAGTTCTTTTCCACAATAAAAATTCCCGAAATCAAGGCAATTTACAACCAGATACCATCATAATTACAGTGAAAAATGTGCCGATTTCTGTTGATGATGGGCAAATACATAGAGCCCTTACATTACAGGGTTGTGACATACACGGTCTCTATAGAAAACGTTTACTGGTTAATGGCAAAATCACTAACTGCAAAACAGGAGACAGAATAATAGTTAGTAAGCTGTTAAACAAACCCATAGCCAGAAATTTACAAATAGGCAAATACATGGCCATAGTTATACATAGTGGGCAACCTGAATTTGAAAACAGACGCTCTAACAGTGATGGCAATATAAAACCTTGCTATAAATGCTTATAGGTTGGTCATTTCGTGTATGACTGTCCAAATGATTGGGTATGCAAAAAATGCAAATTAATGGGCCACAAGATGATGGATTGTCCAAATGCATTTCAAGTAGTTAGCAATCATGAAGAACAAAATAGTGACCACTGATGAATCTGTAAATGATTCTCAGTCAACTGAACAGGCTGAGAAACTGAAATCAAAAACAAATGTGGCAAGTTAACCAAAAGACAAAAACCGAAAACAAAAGATGCCAATTCAAGCAATGCAAATAAACCAAATCCTACAAAACCAGGAAAGAGAAAGTCTAGTGTGAATGAGACAAATTTAAACAATTCTGACAACGCACAATCATATATAGACAAATTTATGACCACACCACAAAGTCAACGCAGGAATCTGTCTCAACATCATACCCCACCTACACCCCCAGATAATTTACATGATAGGATTACTGGTAATAATGGCCCCAAGAAGGCCAAAGCTTCATAGTAGTTATATAGACAATGTAAAATACTTTAATGTAAATATTACAGTACAATGATATTTTATATATATATAAACAAACCAAAAAATAAAATAAAAAACAAAAACACAACAAAAATATAAATGGAAAAAAGCATTCAGCTCTATAAAAGAGTTTACTTTAAAGTGTTGATGTTGTTGATTGTGAAGTTGACTATTGGTGGTTTTCATAAATGCAACTCATGTTCATGTTTTTATAAATGCAAACTCAAAAACTTCATTTTAAAGGCTTTGATAAGCTATAACAAAAGATATATAAAGTGTGAGATTTGTATGTGAAAGAGAAGTATATTGCTAACTATTTTAAGTTTCAAATTACTATCAAAAATGTTATATTCTGAGTCATACTTGTGGAAAGTAAGAGTTTTAATCACAATTTATTTTGATCTCTGGAAAGAGCTACACATGATATTTCTTTTGTTTGTTCTTTATAATTGATTTTTTTACATTGATCAAACAAAAGTACTTTTTCAATCCATCAATGTATTATATTTGGGTTAGTGAAGACTAGCTATCTCATGAAATATGTGTATGCATAATGTGCATTATAACTTTAACATTATTAACAATGATTGTGTTTACTATAGGTCAATCGCTGAACAAATTCAAGTAGCGAATATTTATTGATATTTTTAGCATATTACTATTATGTTGGTTTTTACCTGTGCTATATTTAGCGCAAGTATACACATGCTGTGTGCTATTAATAGTGAATGAACAATTGATGACATTAGGTAAAACACTGTATACAACTCACCGTATAAAATGTATAAATAATTACCTTACTGTCAGCGTATACATTCATGCTATATTTGTAGTTTAGCAAAATCTATTTTTGAAACATATTTGTATATAGTACATGAATAAATCCACCATATGGCAAAATTTGGGGTAATTTGCTAATTTGCATAGCGGCCATTTTGCCTTATCATGACGGCAGCCATTACAATAGGATTATATAAGCCCCTTAAATAAAAATGCCAATATGCCAATACATATGCCGAATGAACGATTTGTTCGCATATAGGTGAATTGTACATGTTTTTAGGCTTCTGTCCGTGTTCAAATGGACATTGTCTACTCTGAAATCTTTCGGCCTTTTTAGTTTAAAAAATCGGAGGCGTAACCATAGTATAATTGCTATATGAGATCATATAAAATGACGGAAAATCGTAAAATAGCAAGATTCAAAACAGAAATACATATGCAAGAAGATATTGTTCATGATTTGTTCGCATATAGGGAAACACCTTGTAGGTTGAATTTTAAAGTTAAATGACATTTAACCTACCTGCTTTCTTAAGTTTTCGGCCAAATTCTTTTAAAAACATGATGATTTCAACATTCCCATTTCGTAAAAAGTCAAATTTTAAGCATTTTTCCTTACAATTACACAGCATTTTTGTAAATATCCGCCAAAGGAAGTTTTTAAAGATACATTAGTTTTAGATACATGACGGAAAAGGACTGGATTATCCGCAAATTTAAAATAAATTATTTTCAATCTTAAGCTAAGGGAAGTAATGTGATCAAAAGGGACAAAAACACGTGGTGCAAATAATTTGAATAAAGTACCTTTGATTTTGCCATATGGGAAATGCACTATCGGATATTCCTCTACACTTCATACTACATATATCTAAAATATCTATTTCTTCCAAACAGTTTACTTTTTTAGTAAAGATAGCTAACAAATCATTTATAGAAGCCTCGCAAAACGGTGAAGTCCACATGCATTATTATCTTAAATATGTTTACATTCTTCATTTCACTTATTTAGATAAAAGTATATACACTCATTATTTGAATTAGACACGTATATCAGAAACATATATCCATCCGAATACACAATGTAAGACTGTAAAGAACAACACGTGTTGAATATTTTAGTGTCAATTTTATTGTCTATCGATTTTAACATAACAAGGTCAAACCAGGCCAGTAAATTAAATGCCGTATTCACAGGTAGCGTGTTTTATCTGTTACCCGTAATTATATGAAGCATGATGAATTGTACTTTTTATGTTTGTAGAAATAGAGTTATGTATATTGCCGATTTCTGTATGATTGTTATAAAAATGTGTTTTAACTGTACTGTTTGTAGGCATGTACAGTTATGTGAGGAACTATTACAAAAATATGAAATCATACTTTGAAATGGCATCTAAATTTTTGATAAATTTAAGTAGTTTAAATGTAAATGGTACTAAAATAAAGCTAAAAGAGACAGAGTAATTGAATGGATTAAATCTCAAAACTGTTCTGTTTGTTTCTTACAAGAAACTCATTTTGATGAAAACATAGAAACAGAAACAAGAAATAATTCAGAATTTGATATATTTTGCAGTCACGGAACGACCTCTAGGGGTGTTGCTATTCTCATTAAAAAGTCACTGAATTATAAGTTGATAAATAAACATAACGATGAAGATGGACGATTAGTTCTTCTTAATGTAGAAAATGATGAAAGCGTTTTTACACTAATGTGTATATATGCACCTAATTGTAAAAGTAATAAAAACATATTTTTCAAAAAAGTAAATAATATATTAAAAGAACAAGGGATAGGAATTACAATAATGGGGGAAGATTTGAATGATACGATGAAAGAGATAGAAAGAAAAAATACTTGTTCAGAGGTAAAAAATATCCAATCAGTAAATAGTTTAAAATCTTTAATAAAAATAAATAACTTAACTGACATTTGGATATATTTAAATAAAAATAAACAACAATATACTTGGCGAAGAAAAGATAAATCACAGGCAAGTAGGATTGATATGATTCTGATAGGTTCAGACTTCATACCACTAGTAGAATGTTGCAAAATTAAACCTGCAATTATTGATTCATCAAAGTGTTTTTATGAAATTTAGAACTGGTGCATCAGAAAAGGGAAGGGGGTACTGGAAAATAAATAATTCTATATTAGAAGATAATGACTACATACAATTAGTTGATAAAGAAATGGATAGCTGTTTTATGAGTAATCGTAATTTAACAAACCTTGGTTTAGCATGGGATATATTTGAAATAAAGGTAAGGGAGGCAACTATAGCTTATTGTAAAACTAAAGCAAAATTTAAAAGAGAAAATTTACGAACTCTTGAATAAAAAATTAGAAATAAAATTGAAAATTAGAGATGAGCAAGAATCTGGGAATAACATTTTAGATAAAGAGATTGAAGAACTTGAAAATGATATTACCAAAATTTACGAACAAAAGGCTAAAGGGGCTCAAATTAGGTCACGAGAGAAATGGGTTGAATTTGGGGGAAAAATAACTCGTACTTTTGAGGTTTAGAAAAACAGGGACAGGTAAAAAAATCAATCAATAAATTAAAAGGAGAAAATGATGAGATGATAACGGTTCAAGGTGATATACTGTGTAGTATTAAAGAGTACTATAAAAAGTTATACTCGACGCAAAGTCCTGATAAAACATCAAGTGATAAATATATATTTGAGACAAAACTAGAGAAGGAAATGGACGAAAATGATACATCAGTCTGCGATGGGGATATTACAGTAGACGAATGCTCAGATTCAATTTATAAAATGAAACTTAATAAATCTTCTGGATTAGACGGTTTAACAGTCGAATTTTATAGAAAATTTTGGGATAAATTAAAGTACATAGTAGTAAACATTCTTAATATTGGATATAAAGATCAAACACTTACATATTCACAGCGTACAAGTGTATTAACGCTATTATTTAAAAAAGGTGATCCTTTGTCACTAAATAATTATCGTCCTATTTCTCTTTTAAATATTGACATGAAACTTCTTTCGTACGCTCTAGAACAACGATTGAAAAAAATCCTACCAAAACTTATTAAAGAAGACAAGACTGGATATGTAAAGAATAGATTTATTGGTTTTAATCTTAGACAGATAAAAGATATTATTGATTCACTGATTTATACAAAATTGAAGGGGCTATAGTCTTTGTTGATTTTTGTAAAGAGTTTGACTCTTTAGAATGGAATTTTATGTTTTCATTTTTAAAACATTTTGCATTTAATGGTTCTTTTATAAGATGTGTTAAGATATCCAAACATGTGTTATGAATAATGGTTGGATATCTGATGTCTTTAAAAACACAAAGGGTATACGCCAAGGATGTACTTTATCGGCATTACTATTTGTTTTATCGGTGGAAATCATGGCGTCAAGATTAAGAAGCAATACCGATTTCAAAGGTATCAAAATCAAATTGGATGGCAAAAATCATAGCATAAAAATTTTGCAACCAGCAGACGATACTTCTTTATTTTGTTGTTCTAAATTCGACGTTCAATTAGCAATGAACGAAATTAAAATCTTTGGTTCTTATTGGATTGAAATTAAATAGAGATAAAATAAAGGGGTTATGGGTCGGAAAGCTAAAATCATATAAAGACAACATTGAGGGAATCAACTGAAGCAATGGACTAGTTAAAACTCTTGGCATATATTTTGGGTATTGTAGAGAGGAATGTGAAAAACTAAATTGGGAAAAAAAAAATTGAAAAAATGAATAAATTATTTTGTTCTTGGCAGAAAAAAAATCTTACTATTTTGGGAAAACATTTGATAATTAAAACACTAATTATGCCTATTTTCACTTTTGTGGGAACTGCCTGTATAGTTCCAGAGAAATATTTGAAAGAAATAGAAAAAAAGTTGTTTTAAATTTGTTTAGGATAATAAAACAGATAAAGTCAAAAGAAATTCGATCATTGGTCCATATGAAAAGGGGGGATAAGAAAAGATAGACATGAGAAGTTATTTCGCTGCTTTAAAGCTATGTGGTTTAAAAGACTAGTAAGTGATTGTGAAGGAGATTGGACAATTATACCACAGCACTATTATTATAATTTTGGGTCAAACTGGTTAGTGTTTCAAACAAACAGTGGGGATAAACCAAAAGAAAGCCTTGAAAAAATCCCAGATTTTTATAAAAAGTTCCTTAAATGTTGGAAGTTAACTGGTGGAGGTCTAACAAATTTACAGATATAAGAAAACAAATATTATGTAACAATAAATTTATTAAATTTGAAAATAAAGCTATAGTTTTAAAAAATTGGATTAAAAGCGATCTTATTTATGTAAATGATATCATAGATGAAAAAGGCTGCATTTCACAAGATATCATTTTAATAAACTAAAAAATAAATCAAACTGGATAGCTAAAATTAATTTGGTAAAGAAATCAATACCAAAAGACTGGGCAGCAATGTTAAAGTCTGAAGATTCTATAAAAAGCACTGTTAATATAAAAAGAAACCAATTTATATGGAAAGGTTTACCTATAAAATTAGAATCTCTATCAAACAAACTTTTATATATGTCTCTGATAAACAACAAATTTGAACCAGTTATTGGACCAAAAAAATGGCTGCGTATACTTTATATAGATGATGTGTTATATCAAAACATTTTATATGAATTTTATTCAGATATATAAAAGAAAATAAACTAAAAATTTTTAGATGGAAATTACTACAACATATTCTACCTACATAGAAACTTTTATTCAGGTGGAAAATTGTAAACAGTAGTTTTTGTAACTTTTGTACACAAGAAGAAGATTATGATCACTTCTATATACTGTGTCCGTATTTAGAACATTTTTGGAATAAAATAAATGAAGTTTTGAAGAAGAGTAAAATAACTTTTAAGATAAATTAACACATTTGATATTTGGATATAAAATTTCTGACGAAGAATATTTTGACTTTAACTATTTTTTAACAATTGTTAGTTTTTAAATTTACAAAGTCTATTACATATCTGATCAAAAGACAAAAAGTGTCAATGTTTTCTCAATTTTTCTCAATGAATTCAATAGAAAAGTATGTTTGACAATTCAAAATAATTATTCAGCAACCATTAGAAAACATTTGAATAATCATTATGAGTGATATTATTGCATATATATTGGACGTAATATGAATTTTACAACTAATTACTGCCCTGGGTGATTAGTGGAATGTAACAGGAAGCATCATGAGGAGCTTGGACTCCTGAAGGGTATTGTAACAAGCCAATAATTGAAATAAATATTAAATCATATAATTATAAAAAAAAAAAAAAAAATACAATTCATGCGTTAGAAGTGCTTTTCTGGATTTACTTTAATCAGAAACGCTGAAAGCCGAATATTTGAAATCCAAGGTTGTATTAGAACCGAAACATTTGAAGAGCTATATGACCAAAAAGGATTTACATAATAGCCAAATCAATCTAAGGCCAACTTTGCCTGATGATGTTGAAAACTTTGTTTCTTTATAATTACAATTTCTGAAAGGTTTGTTATAATTCATGTCAGTACCGCAGTACTGACTACTGATAGTCCACGAGTAGATGTATCGACGCAGGCTTGTAAAAAATGAAAACAACTCCTTATAAATTTCATGCGTTCAAAGCGCTTTTCTAGATTTACCTTCATCTGGAATGTTATCACTAATTTTCTAATTGCACGGGGATTTTTTTTTTGAAAATCTATTACTTGTCCAATTACAAGCGTTTTAGTAAAGCTATTAATATTGTAATTACCTACGATGTAATGTTAATCATATTGAAACGCATTGGTCGCTACCATACATAGTTGAAACGGAAGTCGGCAAATCGAATCGTGATCTTAAAACAAATATAATCTTATCCATGTTATTATCTGAATCCTTGACGTTAGACAATTAGACACGGTCTGCATATTCAGTTCATGATATGGCCGAATTACTATTGGATTACTGCATTAGCTTGATCATGCACCATTTAGGATTTTCTCTCAAACAAGAAACATTGTTTCTTTGTAGCTGAGAAGAAACTTTATTGCGAAACCCAACTACCTGCAACCCTATTTGGATTACCAGTTTTAATAATTATTGATTCCTTTTTAAGTCTTAACACCTTTTCATAGATACTTTTCATTTTCTTCTAATCATTTTGTTTTCATCCATTTTTCTTGCAAAATGTCGATAAGATATTTTGTGTATAATATCGAATATTTATTGCAATTTTGAAACTTATCATTCTTAATTGAACACTTTTCCATATTGCAGTTATCTCACCGTATACTATTCGTTACTAAAATCATTTATTATGGAACCAAGAACTAATTGAATAATTAGTATCCCAAGATAGGGGAGGATTGTGTTTCCAAATTTGTTATATTCACATTGCCACTCGAATGGTCGGTTTTTATCTTTATTCAAGGTCACAAACTTGAAAAAGAATTGCAACTGATTTACATAAAATTCTCTTCATTTAATCCATATTTCTTATCCCATGCACGGTTTCAATTTTTTACATATAGTTCAAATTCAACCAGACGTATTTTTTTTCGAATCCAGCTCGTAATGGCTATCCTTTTTGTGAAGCTTAGTAAATATGAATGGTAATTAAAATCCGTCTGCTTGGCTAGCAAAAGGAAAGAAAAAAATATACAAGTAAGTTAATAACATTCTTTAGTCATGATATGCATATTATATCTAAACAAAGTAGGACTGGTTTCATCATTGTATTTTTTTATGCACTATTTGAAACAACACCTAACAATTTGGATTTTCAAATGTTTTTACCCTGATCTTTTTTAGAGACATTATTTGTCGAAATGCTGATTATAAAAATTAATGTGAACTAATTTAACAGAAATAATTTAGGATCAGCCATATTTCCATGTAGATTTCTGATACGGGTTTCCATAATTGTGAACATTTACTCCATCTGCTAAATGATCCTTTCATAACCGATGTATAATTTCAAAATAGATTTTTACCAATTCATTTTTATGTCCCCTGCAGTAGGCAACGTGGGCATTAAATGTTACCCTTGACCGTTTGTCCGCA